GTTTACTCTGCAACAGTTTAATTTAATTCCTGTTTTTGTTAAATTCAATTGTTTTAGTTTGATATGTCTATGGTTTAAATTGTTAGAGTGTATATCAATCGAAAGCTTAATTATAAATTTCGAAACTTGGATCGTTAAGGAGTAGTAATTACTGGAAGCAGGCAAATGATGAGACACGAGTAACCCTGTGACTCACTGTAAATAACTATCCTTTGAATCAATGGTTGATGTAAAATGGGACTAAAAGGTAACAAAAGTATGAAGAATTCACGGCTGTGCTTATCTGTTCGAAATTAAATCTTCAATTGCATTCTACAAAAATTTTTAAATACCTTGTAGTACAGTTCTATCTATACAATCTCGAGACTCGCGAAATCATACAAAACGTACAATGAATGTAAAAAAATGCGTAATATCGTACCTAACGCAAAATACAATATTTAGATTATATCGAATATAAGATCGAAATCTAAAGAGTTAAATTGTTGATAAACGAGATCCGATTGTTGGAATTAAAAGTCCGTGTCATCGCAAATTTTCCATACCTGTATTTCCAATCGAATCAGAAATTCAGGTTTCAGGTAACAGAGATTTACATCGGATAAGCGTCCCGCGACTCAATTCGATAAGAGAATACATAACGCGGTATCTAAGGATGCTCGTGGCCATCCGTCGAGGAAAATTACAGATTCTCTCTTTTTGTCCCAATCGAGGTCGAGACTTGCCGCGAGTTGTTATTGAACATCCGTGGACGTTGACCAATGCAACGTCCCGGCGAGCTGACAAGGGACCGATAAGAATTTAGGATAGCACCCTGATACTCTTTATCTATTTAATTCGTCGCTCGTTCATCTCGTCGCGATAATTTCACGAAAAATTAAGCGGATTCTATCCGTTATCGTGAGAGACCGATCGGAATATCAGGTACTCCAGAGAGCAACAGGAAGTCGCTGTCACACCGCGAGGGAACGTTGGATCGTTGATACGTCGATAAGTAAAGACGACCGTTTTGTCAAAACTTAACAAAGTTGTTATTTATACACGTGGCACAGGATATTCGTCGCGGAATGCGAATGTGAAGTTCGACTCGTCTCGAAATTCTCGAGAAGCACGTGTCGAGGGAATTGTACGAAAAAAATAATAGACCCCCACTCCGAGTACGGACAGAGAAAACTGGAGATAACTTCAATTCCCGAAAAAAAAGATTATTATTCAAAGAAACGACACATCGATAAAAATGCCAGCAATATGCGTAGATAAACGCGAGGTCGTCGCTTCTGAAAAAGAAGAGATACGCAAGAAATGGCGCGGAAGTAAGGTAAGTTGAACGTTCCTCCTGGGTCTGTTTCATGTCTCTTTCAGGTAACTTTCAGTCGTTGTAACTTTCGTAATAGTCGACTAGGATCGTGTGTATATGCGTTGTAGTACTAGTTATCCTTGGGAATGCTGCTAAGGGAAACTCGCGTTCTTTTTCATCCGTTCAAAAAGCGTACAAAGCTGAGAGCTGCACGAGCAACGCAATACGGAGCACGTTTCTTGCACGTGCCGTGTTGCATCGGCCAAGATTGTTTAAATGTCAAATGTTCCATCGCCAAATTGATCGTCAATATTTGCACGAGTGTCCCTTTTTTCTTCGCTTAATGCCATTTAATCTCGCTTTATGGGCAGAGAAAGGAAGAGGAAGGGAAACTCGTGTGACTCTAGAAGAATGCAAATAGTAAGTATCGTTGTTCCATTGGGAATAAAGCGAAAAGGATTGGAATGACCGGTGTTTAATTGATGCAAATTTAAAGCATCGTATTCGTATATATACGCGTGATCGTTGTATATTCGAAAGGAATAAAATTAAAATTTGAAGGGTGATCGAGGTGAACGACGAAAAGGGATCTGAATATCGTTTTTATTTTTAAGTCTGTTGGGTGATCTAACAGACCGGTACTTGACGTGGATAATTGCCAAAATTTAGTGACAGCCCATTAACGGAAATGTTGCACCACAATGGCCGTTTGTGGGTACAGTGGCTTCGTCACGTGATATAATAAACACAATATGCAGTAATTAATGATTCAAACGTGTGACATTTCCAATGTATTGTACGATAAAAATTGACATATCTATACACGTACATAGTAATCTTATCGTACGTACAGAAATACTAAATTACCATGGAACCTTGTTCTATATTATCTAACAACGTACTTCCTAAATAAAGTAGCGAATTTAATAAAATAGGAATAAAAAGAAACACGAATATTTCCACAGAAAGATTATTATCGAATTCGCTATCGATATTGTTCACGTATGTTTTTGCTCCGAACAAAGTAACGAATTTAGCAAAGTAGGAGATAAAATACATAAAAATATTTTCTCCAGAAATTGATTATCGAACCTGCCATAGAGATTTTGCGTATCTCCGTTCATTAGAAAATTATCGAACGAAAGCTCGATACGAGTATTAATAATGAAATGAAGCAAAAATATTCGTTAGAACTCATTCATCGACAAGAGTATCGCACGTACTCGAAAATCCTTATCTACAGAAGACATGCATTAACGTGAGATCTGACATGCATAATCGATACGATAACTACGTTTCGAAGTTAAATAACAATATTAACCAGCATCGTTTTTATCTTAATTACCGTATGGCTACATCTTTGTCAAACAACCTGGTAGACGACGTTGACAGCCGTTTGAGAGAAACTTTATCGACGATTTTGAATCGAGACACGAGTAAAATTCATACGTGTATTAACGGATGTATCGTTAGATTTCCAAGAAAACGCGTGAGATCAGCTCTACTCTATTTCGCTTGTACGAGTATCGTTGATCGTGACATTTCGCATCTAACACTCAAGTACAGTCATACTTGCACAACATTCCAGGCAGATATGCCTCGAACATGACAAAATCCGAATGGTCAAGATAATTGTATCGTCCAGTCGAGATATTCGACGCTTAAAAATTGCAAAATATTCTACGAAACTCTGGTTACCAGATATTTTAATCTAACTTTGTCTAAACTTTATCTAAATGTAACGATGAATTGTTGAAATAAATTATTCAAACGATTACAAATTTTTGTCAAATTTTCCAGATACCCACAACGAGTTGGACACTCATGGCGTTTCGAGAATAAAATTTGTCAAGTAGGGTAACAAGGATCTGTGTATACTAGAAATCACGTAAACCTCGTGAATGTAAACACAAATATTCATGAATGATGGCTGAGATAGTGATGCAAACATCCAACGTCAACAGAGGCTCATAACTTCGCTGACTGTCACTTAAGCAAATTTCACACGAGATCCGTGGCTTAATCGAGCTAAATACACGCGTGTAAATTCAGGTACAAAAACAACGAGGTAAAACGGGATCTATATATAGAGAGAGAGAGAGCAAACGAAGTGCTTTAAGCGTACAAAGAAAGGCGTGTTCCATTTGAGTCGTTTGAAGGCGTTCCTTTGATACGTTTCACAGTTAGTTCAATTCATCGATCTTGTTCAAACTTACTCTTGGATTCCACAATTGAAGCTTTGATAGAATTATAAGTCAATGCCCGATAAAGGAGCCCAAACATCGAGAGCAGGATGTTAAAAGAAAGGGAAACTTAAAACATTAGGAAAGGTGCTCTTAATCTTGATCAATCGAGTAACTTAATTCGGGCTTCGAATTGTCAGGCCAAGTTTCGTCTCAAGGACGAAAAACTGAAACGAAGTTTAGTATTACTATTATCTATAGTATTATCATTGTCGTTACCATTATTATTTTGTATTTTAGGTTTCTCGGTTGGTTCACAGTGGGTCATTCTTCATGCTCAAAAGACTATGACACATCGACAAGAGACAACCCTTTATTCCTGTGAATTTCTCGTTTGATCCACACTGGGTCATTTTTCGCGTTTCGAACCGTAAACGCGAATCATACAAGCAATGTCGACGAAAAGCGACAATTTATGCACGTACGTATGCACCTTGGGTTTCCTGTTTGATACACTGTAGGTCATTCTTTACGCTCTGAAAGGTGCACATGAATCGCGTAAACAATGTCGATAAAACGCGACAATTGAGCCGTGTATTTTAGGTTTTTCATTTGATCCACACCGGATCGTTTTTCACGTGTTGAAACATGCACGTGAATCGCATAAACAACGTCGACAAAAAGCGAGAATTTATACATGTACCACGGATTTTTTGTTCCGTTCACAAAGGATCGTTCTTCGCGTTGTGGAACATGAATTGCGTAAACATCGTCGACAAAAAGCGACAATTTATCCCTGTAATCGCAACGGCCTGGCTATAAGATGGTTTATTTAAAACCCTCTCTAAATCAAACAGACAAACTGGCTCATCTTACGCTATTCACCTCGCGAGATATTCCTAATGAACGTTCCACGAACTAAAGATAAACGAGTAACACTATTTAAGATCGACACTGTTAACGTTCACTTTGGTTAACGCTATTAGTCAGCAGCCGCGGGGATTTGTTATTTTTTTAAAGTCAACGTGGCCGATATCGCACTCGAGACTCGATGTCTCTAATCAAATCGATATGGTACATGATTTTATTACAGGAAGCAAACAAGCGTCATAAAGCTTAAACTCGAGCCTCTGTCAAGCGAGAGCCCGATAAACCACATGGCGCGAAACGTGTCTATAGTAAACATTAAAAATTGTTCGTTTGACACGGAGGTACGATCGAAGCTCTTTCAAAAAATTTATCTAAACACAACGTTATCAAGTAAATAGCAATGATATCGTTCTCCTATCGATTCGAATTAATCTTCAAATTTCTCATGAGAAACCAGTAATTACGTAATTTATCTACGAAAGCAACCCTCGTTGACCACCGCGTCAATGAGAATCGTTAAGAGCGACACGTAATAGAAGATAACGAGAGATAATCGCTCGTCTTGGTTAATCGTTTTTCCAATAAAAATTCTTGAAGTGTCCAAGTTTAACGACACAAGTAATAGTAAACGATAAAGAAGAAACACTTACTTTTTCGTGGTCAATTCAAAGTATCCAGATGTGAGAATGGGTACTGGTAACCCATGGATGGTGACGGTTGTCGTCCGTTCCGTTAACACGTGCAACGGTCGGCTGCTTCCGCGCGACTGAAACGGAGTCGCGCTACTGAGAATGCTCGAGCCAACCACCAAAGATTGTCTGCTACTTGCTACTACTACTTTGCTGCTGCTTGTCTCCCGACCGGTGTCATTCGGGCCTCCCCACGCCCCGAAACACTCAGGGCCCCTGAATTTCGTACATGGTGACGCGCACGGTGTATGTACACGCTATCTCAGACCGGGGTCGATGAAGACGTTCAACCGCTGGAAAATTGGCTTCTGGAACACCTCGAGGAAGTCACGGTCAGATTTCTTTCGCGTACGTACTTCTGACCCGTAAACACAGCCGATTCGAGCGTCGCGATCGGACAGATCGTTAGATCTTGTTAGATCTTGCCAGATCTTGCTATACCTTGTAGCAACTTTCATCTTATAAGAGATACGGGATTTTGAAATTTCGGTAATTCAAGGAAATTAAAGAATCGGTTTTACGTTGAAATGATCCTTTGAGAAATTGCTGTTTTATTTGCGAATATTAATCTAAGTTTCCTGGGGGTTGAAGATGAATTGAATTTTGACCAACTCTCTTCTTGTATTTCGAAATTTCTTGAAATCACGTTCTGCACAATATTTGATTTGCCGTTTTGAGCTCTGATGGAATTGGATTTTCCAAGAAACTTAGAGATCAGAATTTACTTTTCCATTGATGTGATCTTCCTTTAGTTCTTGAGAGATATTTCAAGTTCCTTTCCGGGGATTTTAGAAAGATTCTATTCATTTTTTATTCTATAGGAACCGAATTTTCTTCGAGAACTTATTTTTTCTTCGACCCCATAAGAATTTACTTTTTCGTAAATTTGGAGATAGATTTCTGTTTGTTTAAGACATGCGGGACGTAACTACATTTCTTAGATAATCTAGCATTCTTCTAATTAATCCAAGTTCCCGAGAAATTCGTATTCTAAAATTCATAGATTAGAAATTGATTTATGACTTATCTTCTTATCAGAGGGATCATATACAATGATTTATAGATCACAAATCCACAGCCGATAACTCGGTCAGCATTCTTATGCGACGCGTGTACTTTTCGTGTAATTTCTAATTCCTCGAATCTTATACTAAAAACATAAAAGTTTAATGCATCCATTCAGAACATTCGAACCTTTGCATTCTTTTGTAAATCACGTATGAATAACTTTGAATGTTATTATTATGTACGAAGTATCAAATACAAAACGAGAAATCAATCTGATTAAAAATTCTAGGAGCTTCTGACCATCCTTGCTGAGACCTTAAATTATTTCCGACACCAGTATAGGTTTTAAGGACGGAACGTTGTGCGAACAATGGAATCAACGACTCTTAGACCTCCATGTTAGAATCCTTTCAGATGGTTCAGTGTTCGCTGAAGGTGTTGCGTGCAAAATAATCGTACCGGATTACCACTTTGCGTGCGAGTAATAGCGAATCCAAATTCCTATTACATCCTTATCATGTATGACTTTAAGTATAAGCCTTTAAGTATTGTCAGCATAGCATCGCATGTTCCTACTGAAATTTCTGCGAATCGAATTCAGCGTTTATTAAAAATGCTTCAAAGATAGAAAAATTGCAAAGTCGATTTAATCGTTATAAAGCAATGTTCCATCTCGTCTATGCGATTCGATCTTTTTCTCTTATCTAAAGATGATAAACATCTCTAGAAATTATTTTTCTCTTCTTTCAAATTCTTTCTCTTCATTTTTCTATCTCTTCAACAAATATCGACAATAAGGAGATCAAACTGATTATATCTGTCGGCCAATTTTTATCAGCTAACATCTAATCTGTTGAATGAAAAATTTTGTACACTTGTATTCTCTTGTATATAAGTTACATAAATGGAAACGAAGCCTTATGTATATATAACATTTTTATGGGCACGGAATGACCTCAAATTCGACTAACCATGGACGAATTCATAATATACATGTACATGACATGTTTCGTTAATTCGTGAGATTTCAATTGTAGACTGTGTCATTAGAATCTAAAGTATGTTTAGCCAAAACAAAAAATGACATGTCTCACAATGACATAACTGCAGACTTAATAATATCCATGCTATTAATTTATTTATCTTTGTCTTCTACTATATTATATGCATTTTTAATATAAGATTCTGGAAAAAAAACGAAATTAGTTGGCGTATTTTTATTGAACAAATTAAATCATACTTCAGTAATGTACTATTTTAGAAAGCAACATCTCTTACAGGCTATTATATGCTAATTACTGATCTGAATAACCTATAATGAAACATCCTCCTAGATTATCACTTTATAGTTTTACGATCTAAGATTAACCAATTTTTACACTAATTTCATTATGACTTTCTTATACAAATTTTAATATGATTCAATAACTAATTATTACAGCTTATTAATGCAGATTTTATGAATTGTAATTATTAAAAATTTTATCGATGTAAAGCAGGAAATCTACCTTGCACCCATTATCTTACACTACGTTGAACGGAACGTGAAAGTATCGTATGTGATGATCAGTGGAGCACTCTGGTGTTTTTTCATAGAAACGTAAAAATGATCATCCTTCACACATCAGTCATACCATGAATTAACGACATTATGATTTCAGCTGATAAAACTTAGTACTCTATATCGATTGTACTTTTATTGATAACGTTAAATAATCCAAATTTTTCACACCACGTCACGTACGTGAATACTATTATCACATACAACAATTTCCTTTGCTTATAACATACATATATTTGTTACGATCCTTCGTCAATTCTATTTACATACTCTATGCAAATTCTTTTAGATCCACCATTCTCTATGTAAATATAATCGAATCGTATTAATAGCAATTAATAATGTTTTGATTAAGGAAAATTTTTGTTCCGCGCTCTATACAACAATACAATTGCTTTATCTTTCTATCTCTGCCCCAAATTTTCCATTCCGATGACGCAGTGCTTACCGAAGTAAGTCGAGTTGAACTAATAGAAATCTTTGCCTAATACTATCAAACTCTATATTTACACAAATGTAATACAACTTTGTTACCCTCGTTGGGAAATTTTTATATCAGAAAATTTTCCGATTCTTTCCCGCGAAAAATTGTTCGACATCAGTTAGCCAAAATACGAACTTTTTGAAATAATAAAGTATATATACCTACATAAATTTAGTATTTATACCTACCCCAATTGTAATTGTTCTAGTATTAAGCAATATAATTTCTTTTTTCGTTTATTGCTTCAGGTAAAATAATAAAGATGCCCCGTTACTACACAGGCAACGAACAATGTAAAAAATTCCCAAGTTATTTTCATATATTAATCGGCCTCTTTCGATGCATTTTTCAATTATCGCATAATATGTATAATTCGTTCGCAACTAAACATCCTTACGTGATAAATTCGCTCAGAAATTGGCCAATACAACAAAAGAAATCAACTTCTCATGCGTAACATACTAAAAAAAATTCATTAAACATTATTGCGTATTCATGGAGAGATTAACTAGTTCCTAGTCATAGGAATCATGGAAAATTTCCCACCGTAAAATTTTTCCTGAACTGAGCTAATAGCAAACAATGACTAACCGACCGATCATTTGTCGTCAACACCCTCATTCTCTTTTTGTATTGAATACGATTACTTTGCCTTAAATCTAAATAATAATAACTCGCAGCAAGAATATATTTCATTCTTTTTTCTATTTACAAGTTTTACCATATTATATAAACAATATTAAAAAATAAAATCAATTGTAAAAACAGATAATCGATTGTAAAATACGGACGAGTCTACATTTCGATTTTATTTTGTGTTTCCAAGTTACTATTTAGAGAGTGATGCCAAGATGCTCACTCTCGGAAGAGGATCTAAAATAACTAAGCCTTTTGCTAGCTTCTGGTCAGTGACCGACAGATTTTACGACCTCCGATAATAGGCAAAACTAAAGTATTTCGACTATGTAAAAATTATATTATCTTTTCCATTGATACGAATAATCAAAATGTAGATATTTTATTAAAAGTAGAGAAATTAATTTATTTTAAAATCGATATTACACATTGTAGTTTGTTTAATTCGTTTTTTGGGCACAAATCTTCAAAATTTAATACATACTTATTTTACGAATATCCATTTTACAATATAGCAATGTAGTAAATATTAATAAATGCAATACAAAACGCAGATGTACATGTATAATGTACAAAATAAATTCTTTGGACAGTTATCTTAAAATGTATATGCTACACCTTATGTATTAAGTTACAACGTTGTTGCATCACTGTTAGTGAGAGCAAGAACTGTAAAACACACTTCTTCTGGGTCACGAGCCATATATTCTTTACAAACACGCGCTGCATCTTCTAATAATGTTTCTGAACTTGTTGAACCATGATTAACAGGAGCAGACTTACGTCCATCTGAAAAGTTTTATATTTAAAGATATAATCATGATAATCTTATAATATTATTCATAAATATAATAGTTATAAATTAAAGCATTAAAATAACAGTATTAAAATATTTACCTAATTCATATAAAACTCCATTTTTTTCTATAAGGGCTACAAAGTGGTGATATACTGGAACTTCTTCACTGGGTACCTATGAAATACTTTCAATGACATTTCTATAATGACACAGAAATCATAAGAATTATACCTCTGTTTGACCCTCTTGTGCCACATCTTTGTGAGTGGTACTAATACCATCTGACTCCATTAAAAGTTTTCCACATTCCGTAAAAGAAAGATCTTTTGAGTCATCTAAAAAGGCTTTCAAGAAACCATCCTGAAGTTTTATACTGAAAGAATGAATTCAACAAACTATAATGTATAATGTCAATTTTTAAATAAATTAACTTTCTTTACTTTTAATAAAATACATACATATGCTGATTATTTGCAACACTATGAATTAATGCAATTGTACCACAGGCATTATGAATGTATTGTTTCATATGAAAAACTGCTGGATCTTTAGAAGTACTTGTATCTTTTTCTTTATCACCTTCTTCTTCATCCTCTAAACTATTATCACCCTATATCATATGAAATTGTTACATATTATGAATTACAGATATAAATATATATAATAATATAATTTTAATTTTGCAACCTTTTTAGATAAAGGATATAGTAAAATAACAGCAAGAACTGGTTTAGGTACAAGTGCCAGTAGGTCTGGTTCTAATCCATAAACATCAACAACACACCAATCTCTTGGTACACCTAATTTATGTAAAAGCTGAAAAATATATCTTTTTACTATAAAATTTAATAAACAAAGTTATTAAAAAAAATTATTTTATAATTAAATATATTATTTAATAAATAAACAGATAAATTATTGCTAGCATTTTAATAAATAAGAACACTAAAAAATATTCATATTCATAAATATTCATATTATATCACGAGATCGAAAGTCAATACCAGTAATGGAAAGTTACGATGATTTACCTTTGTCATAACCTAAAACAAAGAAAAAGATTAATTTATATTAAAAAATTTGAATATTTTTAATTTCAAAGTAAAGAAAAAAGTAAAAATTCTTACTTCTGGATTCGATTCCATTGGTACCCAAGACGACATGATGAATTTTGTTAATTCTAAAAAATATCGGCAAATATAAGCTTCATATTCAAACTTCGATATTGCTGTACATATTTTTTTCTAAGAATTTTCGCAAAATCAGTTACTTACGATAAACGCTAAAAATTTTAAACAGCGTATATCCGGTTTTATTCGTACAATAGTTAAACGCTGTTATTAATCTATCACACTCCGACGAATTTACCTGAATCCTGTAAGTTTGACAGACTCCAATAACGTGTTATTGGCTATTGATAAGATCGATATTGAAATATATTTAAAAAAATTAACAACAAAATATTTGGATTTTGTTTATATCATATTTTATTAGTTTTATGGTAAAATGTTAAATTATTTTATTAAATTTTTCATTTGTCTGCAGTAGTTAACTGTAATCAGTAGTCGGCAGTCATCTTTTGATGAAAGATTTTGATTTAGATTGTTTTAAATGTTGATATTGTATCAATTATATCTTTTTCGTAATATATTTATGAAATATTTTGAAAAATATGACAAAGAATAACCATGAAAACTTATCTTTCTTATTTTAAATATTGGTTTTATTAATAGTATTTCATTTCCATGTTATATATAAGTACATCTGATTTTATTTTATAATCAAATAAATTTAGTGGTACCAACATTGATAATCAGATTTTCATACGAATTTTTAATCAAGTTATTTGATAAAAATATGATAATAAAGTAAAATTATCAGTTTATGTGAATTATATATATCAGTGCATATATGATATTTATAGAGAAAACTGGACAGTAATAATGATTATACCAATTTATATTGTATTAATTTTTTCAATACTATGTACAGTATGGAAAAATCAGCATATATTAGTAACAGCTAATGAACAAAGATATGAAACATTGTGGACTACAGACAGAGAAATTAACAAATATTTTCCAACATGGAACAGTTTAGATAGTCGTCCTCTTCCAAATTGGTATGATGATGCTAAATTTGGTATTTTTATTCACTGGGGTGTTTTTAGTGTTCCTAGTTTTGGCTCTGAATGGTTTTGGAATAACTGGCAAGGTAATTATGTTTTTTCGTTATTAATTATTATGATATCTGTCTATGTTTAGATTCTTTATTTCTTGTATACCTTTATTTCTATTAAACTATCACTTTTAGAAGAACATAATGGTACTAAATACCATGATTTTATGAAACAAAGGTATCCACCTAGTTTTACATATCAAGACTTTGCTCCTGAATTTACTGCTGAATTCTTTAATGCTACACAGTGGAGCGAATTATTTCAAGCTTCAGGTGCGAAATATATTGTATTGACAAGCAAACATCATGAAGGATATACATTATGGCCTTCTAAATATTCATTTAGTTGGAATTCTGTAGATGTTGGACCAAAGAAAGATCTCATAGGTACTGCTTACATTAAATCTTTAACTCTTAATTTTGTATTTTTAATTAATGATTTTTAAAATCAGGTGAATTAGCTATAGCAATAAGAGATTTAACCAGTTTAAAATTTGGTCTTTACCACTCTTTATATGAATGGTACAATCCTCTTTACTTGTATGACAAAAGAAACAATTTTACAACACAAATTTTTGTTAAACAAAAGATAATCCCTGAATTACATGAGTTAATAGAAAAATATAAGCCAGAAGTTGTATGGTCTGATGGTGACTGGGAAGCACCGGATATTTATTGGAAATCAAAAGAATTTTTATCTTGGTTATACAATGAAAGTCCTATAAAAGATACAGTTGTAGTAAATGATAGATGGGGTCAAAATATAGCATGTCATCATGGTGATTTTTATACATGCACTGATCGCTATAATCCTGGTAAATTAAATCTAACATAATTAATATTTCCTTTAAGTATAGATTTTTTTTTATTTATTTTAATTATAATTTAAAATCATTAGGAATACTCCTACCACATAAATGGGAAAACTGTATGACAATTGACAAAAAATCTTGGGGATTTCGTAGGAATGCTGTTTTATCAGAATATTTCTGTTTAGCAGAATTGGTAAAAGAATTAGTAGTTACAGTAAGCTGTGGAGGAAATTTATTAATGAATGTTGGGCCAACAAAGGATGGTATTATTTCTCCAATATTTGAAGAAAGATTACGTGGAATGGGTATGTTCATTGATAAAAAAAAATATTAGTATATTTGTTTTAAAATGTAATAATTTATTTAATAGGTGATTGGTTAAATATAAATGGAGAAGCTATTTATAATACCAGACCTTGGACAACTCAAAATGATACTTTAACTAATAGTGTTTGGTATACATATAACAAAAACACAAAAGCCATTTATGCAATAATTCTTAATTGGCCAAATAAGGATATATTGTATCTAAGATCATTTAAAGCAACTATTGGCACACAAATTTCTATGCTTGGATCTAATATATTAATTGAAGTATATATTTTATTTTAATAGAAATTAAATTTACATTACATACTTTATAAAATAATATTAATTTCTCAATTCTAGTGGAAACAAAATAGTGAAAATTTGACTGTATTCTTACCAGCAACACTTCATAAAGGACAACCAGCTTGGGCATTGAGAATAAAGTCGAAATAACAGAACTAGAATATTTTACTATAAATAGTGTTTTATATTTATATGAAGAAAAAAAACAAAAGTACACAAAGTGACATTTTTATCTGTTTTTCTAATAACATTTTTTTTTACATATTACACATTATAAAAAAGAAAACAAATTTTGGAGTATATTAATATAAATCCATACACCTTGATTATATACTTTCAATATGTATTTATATTAAAGTTGAGCTACTTCATACAAATAAGCTCCAAGCAATTTAGTCTAAATCAAAAATAAAATATCATTTGCATTAAATTTATGCAAAACAATTATAATAAAATACTCTTTTCAAACAAAAATACTTACACCTCCAATGTAATTACGAACATCTAATTTCTCATTTTGGGAATGTGCCCCATCATCACCAGCACCAACTGGTAAGAGTAATACGTTTTTGCCTGTTACTTCTTGGAATGTCAAAGTAACTGGAATTGAGCCTCCTTCGCGTGATAAATCAGGTTCTACATTATAAACATGTTTTGTAGCTTTTCGACCAGCTACATAGTTTGGGTGATCAGGATTTTCAGTCCAAGTTCTTCCTCCATGACCCATAATAACATTGAATTTATTTGGACTACCTCTATTAGCCCATATTTTATTTAAATATTCTGTTACTTTTTTAACAGTTTCTTCTGGAGTCATATTTGGTACTATTCTAATTGAAAATTTACCAATAACTTTTCCAGGAATAACAGTCTTTGCACCTGGTTCACTAAATGCACCTTCTATACCATGAAGAGATAAACTGGGTTGTCTCCAACGATGCATTAGAAGTTGAATCTAACAATATAATTAAATTTACTAGTAACATTAAAATAATATTACATTTGTAAATAAAGATAGCATTAAAATATAATTAAAATATAAGAGTACTTAATTAAGTTATAAATATTTACTTTATCTTCATTATGTGCTAATTTATTAGCACCAACAGAAGTTCGAAATTCATCAACATCAAATTCTATTGTTTTGTAGGATTCTCTTTCTTTTTCTACAATTGGAGCAACATCATCATAAATACCATCTACTAATATTTTTCCATTTGCATCAACCAATGTGTTCAACAAATATATTAAATCTGACATTGCTTCATATACAGTTCCACCAAATGTACCACTATGTAAATCTTTACTGGCACAAATTACTTCTACATGGAAATAACAGATACCTCTTAAACCATATGTAATACAAGGTTTTGTGGTACCCAACCAATAATTATCAGATATGCATACATAATCAACACCTTGTAAAAATGTATCTTTCCGTGCCCAAAGGAGTTCATCTAATCCTTCACTACCACTTTCTTCCATACCCTCAAAAACAAACTTCACCCAAAAAATATTTAATAAAAAAAGTTGAAAAAAAATATTATCAAAAATTTATTAGTGAAAATACCTTGATATTAACAGGAATATCAATTCCAACAGCTTTATAAGCTTGCATTGCATGAATCCAACAAAGTACAGGACCTTTATCATCTGTACTTCCACGTCCAAATAATTTGTCATTTTTTTCAACAAGATTAAATGGTTCAGTGTCCCAACCATCTTCTTTTAATGCTGGTTGAACATCTAAATGTCCATATAAAAGAACAGTCTTTTTTTTAGGATCAGATCCAAGAGTGCCTAGTAAAACAGGTGGAAGAGGAATTTGACTTCCATCTGGTAGATTTTGTTTCCCTATATCTACCAATTCAGTAGTGACTCCAAGATCTTTTAATTTAATTTCTGTCCATTTCATCATCTTGATTATTTCATTTCTATGATCTGGCCATGATGATACAGATTTTATAGCTACTGCTTCTCGTAAATTATTTATATATTCTACTTTATGATCATCAATATATCTAAACATTTAATGAACATTAATGATATTATTATTAATTAATATATAATATTAATTATATTAGTTGTATTATAAAATATACTATATATAAAAAAATATCAATATATTCACAAAATAAATTATTATTTACATACCTAAATAACTGTTTTAATTGAGAGGGAAGTTCTGAAGCCATTTTTTTATCCTTTATATTAAATTAATATCCAATTGAGAATGATTAACTTGTACTTTCATATATAATGAACAACACAAAAATATTTTCTGCAAATACACATGTATATATATATATATATGAAAACCAGAAACCTTATCTTATGGGCGTGACTCATTGCTTTGCAAATTACTACTTTGATTATAATAAGCATTTAAAAACATACTTTACATAAAATATTATTTTTCTACTTAAATATCTTAATTAAAAATAATTTTTTCTCATTTCAAATTCATATATGTTTAAGAACTGATGATTCGATAGAATTTTTGTTTAAACTTGAAATATTTTAATACCTAAATTATTATATAAACAAATAAATAAAATTAAAAAAATTAAAAATTATTATTATTAAAAATTATGATTAGAAGCTTTTAAAAGATTATTTCGATATTTTTATATCGAAATTATTAATTTATTTTATTCGGTATTATTAATTTATTGTGAAATATATCTTATCAAATATCATAATATAAAGCATAAAAAGTGAAATAAATATAAAAATTATGTGAAACTATATTTTAAATCTGGCAGATTAAGATTTTGTGTTTAATTTATAGAATAGTACAATAATAATAACAAAAATCGTCCAATTATAGATGACACTTGTATACGTATTAATATGTAAGATATATATGACAGTACGTATGTCTAATATGTAAATACCATTCAATTAACGAAAAACAGCGAAAAACAATAAAATTGAATTATGCGTAAAATAACTGTAAAGTCAAATACTTGATAAACGTTGCTAATATGGATGACAAAGAATCACTGGATTCTATGCAGACATCTCATTCTTACAAATATCGTGGATAAATTATACGTAGTTGTAAGAGATAAAAAATAAAATATAAATAATGACACGTGATATAAAACAAAAATAGATTTTTATTAAATTTAATAACGTTATAAACACATATGCACACAAACCTATGTAAACAGACACAATTACTACCGCATGTGAGAGGAAGGAAAAATGAAAAAAAAAATGGTGCTGGCGAAACAAAGAAATAGAAGAAGTAGATAAATTTACATACTTAGGCTATACCCTCAACAAAAACGGAAATAATAACGATCATATAAACAATCTCACCAGAAAAGGCATCCTAGCGGCAAGACAAGTATGGGGACTAGGCGAAAGATTATTTAGGGATAGTTTTATGAAGCGAATGTGGATATACGATAAACTAGTCGCAAGTGTAATAAGTTACGGGGTAGAGATATGGGGCTGGAAAGAATGGGAAGAGGTGGAAAAAATCCAAACCAAATATATAAAGTGGTGCCTTGGACTGGATAGATGGACGCCAAAGTACATAATAAGAAAGAAAACATTAAGGAACAAAGTACACACTAATACAATAAACAGAGCGGCAAGATTTGAGGAAAAGATCGAAACACAAGTCAAAAAGATACTATTAAAAAAGTGTGTGGAAGAAGTAACAAAAGGCCAAATAAAAAGAAGTTGGGTAAAACAAAGGATGAAGTGTATTAATGAATGTGGGTTCAGTCAAGAAGGATTGGAAGAGTTAAAGAGGAGAGGAGCAAAGGTAAGTGACACACTAAAGGCAAGAATAATTGAAATAGATAGACAAATCCTACACGAGAAAATCCAACAGTCAAGATATAACAAGAGGTATAGAAATAGAACCCCATATACAATTACCAGCATATCTACAAATTGAAGAGAAAAAGACGTTGCAAAAAATAAAAGCAAAGGTCAGATGTGGAAACATGGAAGATGACAACAAATATTGGGAAACTGAGGAGAGGAGGAAATGCATACTATGCAAAGAAAAGGCTGGTACACTATGGCACATGGTTAAAGAATGCAAAGAATTAAACAGAGTAGGCTTCAGCATACAAAAAATAACATCAGAGGAATACACAGAGGAAGTTATGGAATGGTGTAAAGTATTAGACAGGAAAAGAAAAGAAAAAAGCTTAATAACTGAATAACATTACATAAAGTAACGATAATAAGAAAGTGCAATAAGAGGATAAAAAGGAAAGAACGAATGTATGAATATAGTGACTATACAGGTAGAGAAATAAGAATAGGTTAGATGAAAGGACAATAAATAAATAAATGGTACAAATACATGAAAATCAATGGCAATAAAGAAAAACCAAAGAAATGTAAGACATAAATAAAATAGTTATATTATACCATGCTAGATTAAGTCATATTACGTTATGTTATATTATATTATACTGTATGAAGTATGTAGGCGTATAGAGGTACGGGTGGATATGTATGGATATGTATGTATATATGAACGTTTGTACACAGGGCACATGTGTATGTGTGAATATATATAGGTCTTCTATGAACGAGATGAACAGTAAAAGAGAGACGCAAGATAGACTTAATGTAAAACCGAGTCCATTTCCTGGCAATGTAAGCTGAAATAAATAAATCTATCTCTCTATCTACTACCACGTGTGAATACTGATGTATAAATTATTCAGAAAACATATATAATCAAGAAATAAATACTTAGCATTCTTATCTTTCTAAATATTTTTACATTTCTTTTAATTTAATATATTTTTTACATTATACGAAAATTACGATAAAATAATTAATAACTCTAAATTAAGATCATATTAAAATATTAAAATATTAAAATTACGCCGAAAGATATTATGGGATATAATGCCCACAATTTAGTAGCGATTAAGTAAATATCTGAAAAACACTATTTTGTTAGTATAAAAAGATATTTCATCTTTTAGATGTATCAGTTTTAAATAAATACTATGTATATTATAAAGAAAAGGGAAGATAAGAAAAGTATATTAGCAAATTGAAATTTATATATTCTTTAAATAAAATATATTATTAATGCATCAGTTGTTTAATTTAATGATCAGAAATTTAAAAGAATAGGTTTCAGATATAAAAAGAATTATAATATAGATAAAAGATGAAACATCACTTATGATGATTTAATATAAAAAATAAGTTATCACAAGAAACCCAAAGGTAATATTAAGATTACAATGAAAATTCATTTTTATATCTGGTACAAAATTTTAAAAAGTTGAACAATAATGAAGTGTAAAATAATTGCAAAATATTTTTCTTTTGTAGATTATTTCTCTTTTATTTTATAAACTTGCTTTATTAAATTTATTCCTACTATGGTTTGTTTATGCTTATTATTAATTAATATGTTCTAAAGTTTATATTCCAATTTTGTTACTTGTATAATAAAGGAATATATTTTATATAAATATACTATGACAATCATTTTCAATCATTTTTTCCTATTGCATTACCTGCTGTATTCATGAAGCAAAGATCTTGTGGTTACAAGTGCATTTCTAAGAATTTATATAAAATTTAAGGAGTCTGCAAAGGGGTCAATAATTTTGATTATTTATACTCTACATAAATGTAATATTTATCGATAATAATCTTTAAAGTACAAAATAATTTAATTTTAGCGGCATTACAGTCAGTTATTTACAGCGTGTGTCACGATCTTATTATCTTAACCATAATCCTACTGTCAGTAATATTTTTATTAATATCTCATTTGCCAGCTATGTACAACACAATACAAGTTTAGCTACCACGTTGCATAAGCAATTAAACAAACATGAGCTTAATCTAGTGCAGAATTAACAATAGTATTGATAATGCCTTCTGTTTGCAATATGACGTTAAAAAATGACGTTTTTAATCTTAAGATGATAATAAAATTCGAAAACTGTATATACAGTAGATTATATAAATTTTCAGTCTTATAAAAAATTGAATATAAAAACTAATTCATTATTCCATTCCTTCTAGATTTTTATTCTTCCATTATAAATATTATACTTTACAGAAAGTATAACAATATTTTTTGTATTCATTATGTTTCTAATTCAAATATAAAATATAAAAGTCATATTACATATGTACATGTTTGAATATTTTTATGATCGATTGCATATTTTGTATGTCGAATGTTCCTACAAAATTGATTAGTATTTTCAGTCTTTTATATATCAAGCGTCAGTCCTTCATATTTATTTAAGAAAAGCATCTCAATTTTTGAAGCGTAATACTCAGGTGTGTAAGGTGGCGCTCGAATCTATTATGCCGTGGTTGGTGGATTTTGACCATACACCACTCCTACTCTGTATAACATGGGAGGTTACAAATAATATCTGAATAAGCTGTTTTTTTTATTGTATTTTTATCGCATTATTTTTAAAAAATTTGCAAGATGTCTCGGCACCGTGACGTACGATCCATGAATTATACAGAAGGTTTGTAATAATTAGGAAACAAATACTTACAAAAATTTATCTTTATGAATATTTTTATATTTTTTTTTATCATTTTTTAACATAAAATATTAATTACAGAATATGAAGGTTATGATGACGTTTATGGACATTCTGTAGAGGATGATTACTGTGTATCACCTAGTGGTATTTTTGTTTAACATTTACTTAATATACCAAATTTTACATTTAATAACATTACATTTAATATAATATTAAAGTGAAAATATTAATTCTTTTAATTACAGCTGAACAATTTTTATTTGATCGAACTAAGCAACAAAATATTGCATGCTTCATTACGGAACCAGATATAATAGAAGACAATGAAGATAATGAGGAACGTCCAACGTCTTTCATTGAAGAAGGTGTAGTATTTACTAGAATTACATGTGTAGAATTATATATATGTAATAAACAAATTACATATAATACATGAATTACATATATTTAATTCTACACGTGTAATGTAATCGACATGTATATAATGGGCCATGTTTATGTCATGTCTGGAATTTATCAAAAATGCTATAGGAGGCACAGTACCTAAATCAGAAATTAGAAACAAAATTATTCAACAAAATTTTTATACAACAGTGGCATTTGATTTGATATAAAAAAAGTTTTCCAAAAACTGCTACTGGTATATGAATTTAGTATACAGTTATACATATACATACATTATATATATATACACATACATACATTATATATATATACACATACATACATTATATATATATA